CTATGATTCGATGATATGATATGATATGATATGATTATGATTATGATATGATATGACATGACATGACATGACATGACATGACATGACATGACATGACATGACATGACATGACATGACATGACATGATATGATATGATATGATATGATATGACATGCCATGCCATGGCATGCCATGGCATGGCATGGCATGGCATGGCATGGCATGGCATGGCATGGCATGACATGACATGACATGACATGACATGACATATATGTATACACAACGATCAGTGCACGCATACACGTAAATTCAAGTACCCGTGTGTTTACACATATATACATGTACATATATATATATATATGTACAGATGTTATATCTTGGTATGTATGTATGTATGTATGTATGTATGTATGTATGTATGCATGCATGCATGCTTGTATGTATGTATGTATGTATGTATGTATGTATGTATGTATGTATGTATGTATGTATGCTCTCCGTCTGTGTGTCAGTCAGTCAGTCAGTCAGTCACTGTCTGTCTGTCTGTCTGTCTGGAGGGAGGAAGGGAGGGAGGGAGGGAGGGAGGGAGGGAGGGGTGTGTGTGTGTGTGTGTGTGTGCGTGTGTGTTTGTTTGTGTGTGTGTGTATGCAAAAATTGCGCTCTGTTACACAGGGTCTTCTGCCAGCGGGGCTATCATCCGGGAAGACTGGAAGCCTGCAGTAAATTTGGGTTCAGGGTTTAGGGTTTACGGTTCAATAGGAGTGACACGGGAATATCATTCATGTCGACATCCGCCGAGGTCGCCAAGCAGAAGTTTGCCCGTGGTGACCTGTTCGAGGCCGCCACGGTGGATAGTGTACAGCAGGATCCTGAATACAAGTACCCGTGCATCAGCTACCCGGATGAAGGACCCAGCCAAATCGCCTCCTAGTAATTTGGTTTGCGCCCTAAACCCTAATCCCTAAACCCTAAACCCTTGAAGGTATGCCGTCTTAGCCTCGCTGGCCCAGCTTTGACTGCTCAAAACTTGAACCCTGAACCCTTAAGCCTCAAGCACAGCAAAGCCAACCCTCAGCATTCCCGAAAGTTAGGGTACCTTAGTGTGGGGTCCTTTTGATAAGGATCCTATTATTTAGGGTACTATATTAGGGTCCCCTATTTTCGGAAACCCCCATTTAGGGTTTAGGGTTTAAGGGGGTTGATGGCTGGTGCCTCAGCAGAGTCCATGGTCCTGCGCTCAGTGGGGTGCTGGCATTCACCAAGTCCAGATGTAAAACAAAGAAGGTTGATAGGAGATCAAGTCCAATGTAAAGGGGGTTGGTAGGAGTTCACGGCACCTAAACTTTGCCTTAGCAGCCTTACCAGCCTTGGGTTGGGGTTTCTTTGCGATGCAGACGACAGTGTCATGCTTGGGTCTCCCGTTTCAACATCAGGGACTCACCCAGAACGGCTCCATGTAATGTGCGTACATCGTATATACTCAGGCCATCTTAGGCCTTGAAGGGGTTCCTATATGGCTACTCTTAGTTAGGGCTGAGTATACACTATACAGGTAGCATGGAGCCTTTTTGGCCAGCTAGTCAAGCAAGCTTCGAGTAAGTTTCCTACCCGCCGGAATCCTCAACCCTTCACCTCCAAGCGAACGTAAGTCATCCTTTGGCCCAAATCCCCCGCCAGAAAGCCGGTTGGAATATCGTAGAGCCCAGTTTACATAGGCATTAACATCGGATTCCTACCAGTAAAGAAGGAGACCTTTTAACTTCTATTGGGGTAATTAGAGCCCCTTTATAATCCGCAAGGCTAACCTTTAAATCCCTAAAATACTGGACAAGTAAGGATTGCTTTGGAAGCCAAACTAGGCCTTGTTCAAATACTCGGTGTCCTATTTGGATCACCCACCCCTAAATTCTATTCCCTAACTCGCTAAGCCCTAAGCCCCTAAACCCTAAACCCCAACTCCACTGCCCAAGCCCTAAACCCCCAAACCCTAAACCCCGACTCCACTCCCTAAGCGCAAACTCCGCAAACCCTAAACCCCCTAAGCCCTAA